TTCTCCAAAGGCTCATGTGCTAAAGACTTGATCACCAATGCAGCTATGTTCAGAGGTGGGAATTTTAGGAAGTAATTGGATCACAAGTGCTCTAACTTCATCAATTAATTAATTCAACAGGGGATTCATATTTTATGGCATTATAGAGAAGTGGTGGAAATTATAAGCAGTGGGCCCCAGCTGGAGGAAGTAGGTGAGTGGGACAGTTCCCTGTAAGACAAAATCCTGTCCTCAGCCCCTTTCTCTCTGTTTCCTGGTGGCCATAAGATGAACAGCTTTTCTATGCCATGCACTTCCGCCATGATGTTCTGCGTTACCTTGGGCCCAAAGAAATGGAGACAGCTGAATGTGGACTGAAACTTCGGAAACTATGAGCCAAAGTAATTTCCCTTCTTTTCGGTTGTTTATTTTGTTACAGTGTTAAAACACTGACTGACATATTTACCAATTTAAGATTCTCATTCTTCTGACTTAAGGTGGTTTTCATTCCCCCTAATAACTCCCTATGACAGCTATTTATCTACTTTTTTCTTTTCCTCCAGATGGTGTTGGAGGATGGTGTTTAGGTGACCTAGTGATGGCTCAGAGCTCATGCTCTTCTCTGGATAGTTGCCAGCCTGTGTTGCTGAGACTGTTGAGTTCTTGTCCCTGAGCTTCCAATCCTAAGGTCTGATCTGATTCTCCTCCTTATTCCACTCTTAGGACTGGAAGGAACTTTTCATACATCTTATCTGCCTCCTTATCAAGAGGACATTTGTGAAAACCCACTTCCCAGAGATCTGAAGCAAAATGGCTCTTGGGGAATATAAATGAGAAAGATGAGTAAAATGCATATGTGTGTATGTGTGTGTGTGTGTGTGTGTGTGTGTGTGCGCGCGTGCGCAAACACATGTATAATCTTTGTCACATTACCTTAATTTCTTTTTTCTTTGTTGTCTGAATATCATTTTTGGTAACCTTGAAGAAAAAGAAATATAGAATTTGCAATTATCTGAAATGCTTCATTAAGTCAAGATCTTACAGATAATTTCTTGTGTTATATCTACATAAAACTTTATTTCCCATTATAATTTTTATGCTTTCCCAGCGTTCCTTAGTTTTTCAGGACTCC